TAGAGAACGGCTCACGCAGGAGACAAATTGTTTTTGCTGCATTGGGTTCCTCCTGCGACTCGCTGTAATTAGTCCAGTGCCACTTCACTTGAGCTTCTGTGGTTTAATAAACTTTAGTTTCCAAAAGCCACTAGTGCAGCATACAGTATAACATATGTTTCAAGACAGTTTCCACTACATATGAATACATAATATACAACAATTATTCATGTGCAGTGGAAATATGAATCTCAAGAGGGTGCATGTGAAGCAGTTCTTGTTATTTCCCCAACAGTCACTGTACTGCTAAATTGTGGTCCATTATTGGAGAATGACTCAGCCAGGAAAAAAATATGTTCCTTGTTTGTGCTTCACATTAGAATCCTCTTATAGAAACCTGCAGTAATTAAACATCAAAGCTTATCATCTAAAACTTGTGTGATTAAGTACATACTGCACATCAAAGAGGCCATATTATGCCCTTTTATACAAAGTCTTGTTTTTGAGGCCTACTAGAAGAGGCTTTCATGCTTGAATGCAGTGTTGTAGTACTCGAGACTCGGACTCGTCTCGGACTCGGTCTCGAGACCATATTTTAATGGTCTTGGTCTTGTCATGGACTCGTGTCCATTTGGACTCGGAATTGACTCGTACTCGAACATTTTTTTTTTAGGACTCGGAATTATTCCCGAGTCCACTCGAGTTCAATTAAAAATATTTTTCATGATTATTAATGTATGTTAATAAAATATTTCTTTAAATTAATTGACACGCCCAGTGATTTTCTAGTGCGCAACTGCGCATGACAAATTGTAATAAAATTACTTTTAACACCACCTACTATCCCAGACAGCAAACTGACATTGAATCAACGTGGAAACGACTTCTCTCGTGACATTGAAACAACGTTGATTTTGCTCATCGAATTAACGTTGAACCAACGTCAGACGCGGCATTCTTCAAAGCTAAATGAAAATCGAAAATTGGTTTGCTTTCATAACGTTGAAACAACGCGTTGATTTCAAGTTGATTTTCCGTTAGTTTTGAAAGAATGACGCGTCTGACGTTGGTTCAACGTTAATTCGATGAGCAAAACAATGTCAGATCAACGTTGTTTCGATGTCATATTTCCACGTTGATTCAATGTCAGTTTGCTATCTGGGATGTGGCCTTTTTACCCTAAACTGACCATATTTTTTAAACTCTAAGTAAATTCAGTAAAAAAACAAACAAAAAAAGGATTTCTCTAAGTAAATAAAAGTAAATTAGGTAATCAACCCTCACTGGTCTCGGTCTCGACTCGGACTCGACCGTCTCTGGTCTCAGACTCGACTCTCTATGGACTCGGTCTTGACTCGGACTCGACTCTCTCTGGTCTTGGTGTCGACTCGGACTCGAGTGAGGTGGTCTCGACTACAACACTGCTTGAATGTAAAAAAAGTTCTTGTCTCTATGAAGCCCCTCCTTCCGAAAAGCACAATGCCTTCTGATTGGTTGGCTTGACCAGTGTGTTGTGATTGGTCGACCACTAGTAGCTTCGAACACTAACGCCCCTCCCTCGCTAACTTCCATCCGTCTCATTCACTCAGATGTACGTCATTGCTTACATTGCACAAGTTCCTTAATTGGTCCTAAATTTACTTTGGAAAAGATGGTGCCGGTGTATGTGGCATGCGGCTACCTGTGGCGTCATCTATCTATGTTTTAGTATTTATTTTACTGCTTATAACGGGCTTTGATAAACATATCTCCTCTTCGCTGAACTATGACCGTTCCCGGCTATTGTCAATTTGAGTTTCGATTGAGACCTTTTTGAGAGATGACTATGGAGATTCGCGTTTTCCTCCGCCGCCGCCACGTGCTGCCTGCGGCGGCTTCCCTTTGTTGTTGAACGATGTGGACGCGGCAGAAAGCGTGGGAAGAAAATGAACCTTTGGTCTAATTACACATTGGTACATAGTCAGCCATTCTCTGAGATTTGTTTTCATGATTATCGAATGTGAAGAGTTTTATCTCTAAAACTGTTTAGCTTATAACGCTAGTATATGGGGCATATAGTGAAAAAAAATCGTTAATACCACTAACAAGGCTCAAAATAGCCGAACACTGACACGGTAGCATAATCAGGGCCCCTTCATGCAAACCGAAGCATTGAGAACGTTGTAAGTGTACAGACCATTTAATAAGAAGATATTTTATGAAGACAGTTCACTTCACGAAAACAGGCAGGAGCCATCTTGGGAAACCAGTCTCGAGCAGTCGAACCATGAACGCCGAGCTAACTTCTGGCTCGTTCACATCTCATCAGCGCACTTGGCTCGGCGTTCGTGGTTCGACTGCTCGAGACTGTTTTCCAAAGATGGCTCCTGCCTATATTCGCGAAGTGGACTGTCTTTATAAAATATCTTCTTATTAAACGGTCTGTACACTTACAACGTTCTCAATGCTTCGGTTTGCATGAAGGGACCCTGATTATGCTACAGTGCTAGTGCTGGGCTATTTTGAGCCTTGTTAGTGGTATTAACTAGCGTTTTTTTTTTCATTACTCTATTCCCCATATACTAGTGTTATAAGCTAAACAGTTTTTAGAGATAAAACTCTTTACATTCGATGAAAACAAATCTCAGAGAACGGTTGACTATGTACCAATGCGTAATTAGACCAAAGGTTCATTTCGCGCCTGAGTTGTCCTTTAAGTAAAGCAATAATAAATTAGAAAGAGAAAAGAAGATGCCATGCCAAGTCACATGGAAAGGAGAATGGGTGAGCAAGAGAAGATCGAGGAGGGCAAGTGAGATTAATGTGATGGTGAGGTGGTGTGGGAAGCTCATGTGCTCGATGGCTCATTAACACTTGACTACAACACATGCACACCTACTCTCAAAAAACACCACAATTTCCAAGTGAAATACAGACCAGGAGAGCCGACATCCTTATTAGTATGAGAGTGTGGAAAAGTAAGGAGGTGAATTTGAAAGTAACCATCTCCTGATCATTAGCAAAAGTAAAGAGTCCTCTGATAGACTCATGAATAATGCAATCGGGCAAATTACAATAAGTTTTACATAAACATGCAGAGAAAGACTCAACAAAAGCTCATTTTCAAACACTTGACTTTGTTTTCTCACACAAGGCTGTATGTGCAAATAAATGCCGGATGAGAATTTCTCCAATTTACCATCCTCAAACAAGACGCTGTGCCAGAGATGAACTCAAATTGTTTGCCGAGCGTAATATGCCCGCGATGCGGATTTGCTGTGTGTGAACAAAATCATCTGACAACCATTACCATGTACGGCTGAAAACTTTCATAACTTTGATTTTTATTATTTCATTAACTAGAGAAACAATAACTTTTCATAAGATAAATCCGCTCAGGATATGAGCTTGAAAGCAAATCAACACTCTTCATATAAGCCCTCGTTCTCTAACTGCTTTAGTATTTATAAGTATTAGCTGCTGTCTTGCCCAAGCTGCTAACACTCATGGAAAGCTTTTTCATGCTATATATGAGACCAGGGTAAGGACTAATTATACTGTTGGCTGTATAATTAACAGATGAGCCTAAAATGTGCACAAAAAAGTGAGTGAAATGAAGCTGGTTAAAAACTATATTCATCTACAAAAGAAAGGAAGTAGTAGTTAGCTGTATGACCAGGTCTTTAAAGAATACCCACTGTGCTGAAAAAAATATCTTGGCTGTAGGTGTGTTGAGCAACCACCTTTGCCTCAATGAATCTCATGTAGACTTCCCTCATGGATATCAGTTGAACAGATGTGGGTGGTTAGGGAAGGTGTTCAGGATCTATTTTGCATACATCTTTAAAACTTCAGGATGCTGTATATTATGTTTCTGTCTGTGTGTGTGTAATCCTGGTAAACACATTGTTGGTCCCCACAATGCACATTTTTTTGATCCCCATGAGAAAAACATCTAGATCATTCTTAATTATATATATATATATTTTTTTTAGGTTTTCTGTGAGGGTTGTGTTTGGTAGAAATCTAGAGGACCGACTATACTATTTGTACAGTATAAAATTCATTATGTCTATGGAACATTTCCATAAAACATTGAAACTGTATATTTACATCTATTTCCTTAACATTACTATTTTATATAGCAGCGTACTTGAACTAAAATCTGCTTATAACAATCACCCTAAGGCGGGTGTTAATAGAAAGCCACATGATGAATTAAAGTTCATCAAAACCTTTCCATGAGTCATGACAAATAAACGTGTAGATTTCTAGCCTTTAATCTCATAAAAAAGCTAAAATAACATGAAATGCAACACGCTGTAAAAAAATGTCCACCTTCTTCCACTTAAAATCATAGCTTCTGTGTCTGCCTTATGTTTCTATATACAGTATATACACATCACCTAAAGGATTATTAGGAACACCTGTTCAATTTTGCATTAATGCAATTAGCTAATCAACCAATCACATGGCAGTTGCTTCAATGCATTTAGGGGTGTGTGGTCCTGATCAAGACAATCTCCTGAACTCCAAACTGAATATCAGAATGGGAAAGAAAGGGGATTTAAGCAATTTTGAGTGTAGGACAAGAGCAGGGACATCCCGAAAAATCCTTTTACTGTTAAAGTCCAACAACTTTAACAATATTTTATTCATGAATTAAATATTTTGACTATAAATTAAGCCTAAGGCATTTCATTCCTTAACAGAAAATATTTTTTCAGCAATTTACGGTAAAATGACATGTTATCCCATCAAATCGCGTAGAATTTTTACAGTAGCCACCTATGATTAAGGCAAGTTACAGTTTAGGAACCTTTTTTTTTTTAGATTACAAATGTAAAAATACTAACATTTCCTCTTTAATATTGAATGAAGTTTACATTTTTATTATTGTATATATTTTTTAAACATTTATTTTTCTAAACCTAACAACGGTATTTTAATATTTGCACCCCACTGTGTGCATTGGAGGTGGAACTTTTGCCGTGTACATTTGCTCCAATCAACACATGCGACCGTCACCACTGACAGCCTGACCATCTCAGCTCACACAAGCGTGCATGCATTGGAACGGCATTCATACATTCATACAGTGACTGCATTCACTCCTCGCCACCGTTGCTCAACAAGTTAACGTTTGGAATAATCAAATGATGTCACATCCGCTGTTATTAAGCTCGCCTTGGTAGCGTTGGATGCTCTCACGCGCTGTCTGCTGATGAACCCTCATGCGCGTGCGGTCTTAACTTTGGGCGCTCAGTATTGGCTGCACGCGGGAAGTCGCGCGGTGGAGCTGCACGGTAATGAATGTGTATCAATCCGCCCTGTTCTGTTCTGGCATCATCTGCCACACCGAGGACGTGATATTAACACCAGAAAAGTGCGATAGAGACGTGACAGCATGATCCTTCTGTTCGGTGCATTAAAGCCCCTGCTTTTCCTCATTGTCTTCGGACTGTATCCATCCATGGTAAGTTGATGTGATGAGTTGCAAGCTAAAAGATTTCACGATAATGCAATGCACTTGATTTCTCTCTCTATGTATGTGGATATATTTTCTATTTTAAATTAAGTTGGCTGCTGAAATCTCAAAGTTATATATTTTTTTTATATATAATTGTATAATATAATTTCATATAGGGTCCTCTAACACTGGAGTTCTCAGGATTATGCATCATATTATATGTACGTGATGGAGGAAAATAAAACTAGACCACATATTAAACTTTGGTTTATTCAAGCATGGAGAGCCATTTGTCTTTCCAGATGTTTTCCAGGAATGCATTATTGAGTTACAAACAAATAAAGGGACTTGCAGCAAATATTTATAAGCATTGGAAATATGAATTTTGTAGATTTTTTTTTTTCCATTGTCAGTGTGGACTCATACGGTGCATATTCTTATGATATGATTTTACCAGCCAGTGAATATAATGGTGGATTGATCAATTCTGGTCCACTGCCCAACACAGTAAATAAGCTAAATAACCTTCCACTGTAAAAATGATAAAGTATTATGACAGCAGATTACAAACAATAGTATTAATTAAATGCAATGTTTAAAATGATTCATCAAATGAGCTCAACAAAGGTGAATATTCGAAAATGAGCAACTGCACAACATAAAACAAAACAAATTTAATTGAAGTTACTTTTTTGCCCAAAACAGAACTTGAATGTTAATGAATAGTATGAAATAATCTGTAATTAGATTAATATAATTATATAGATTAATTATATATTTATATGTAATTAGATTATATATAAGTAATATTTCTGATGATGCTGTGTCAGTTGTTAAGCAAATTGTTCCCTCTGTTGTAAAGTAAAGTGCTTGTCTAATGATCATACTAATTACATAAACGTGACAAAAACCAAACATGTATGGAATAAGTGCGACATCAGAAACCAACTAGTGACAACAAAATCAAAACTGGCAAATGGTCAGACAACGCAACCTTAATTACTTACGCCCCAGTGCACACTGGGAAGGGGACTAATGGGAATGAACCACAAGGAACAGTATGTCGATTTAAACTGCTTTTTGCATATGCTGGATTTATTCAGTCTCTTCTATTTTGAATTTTGTGCCATTAACAAAATATACAGTATAACCAGTCTGCATTGTCATGAAATCAACAGATTTGTTTTAAACAAGCTGCTCTCTTTGAATGCAGTGTTATCAATGTAAACTGCAGGACACTAATGCTGAAAAAAAAACAAACAAAAAAAACACCATAATGAGATGTAACAAGTGCTAAAATGAGTGTGGTGCTGTGTTTCAGATTCACCTGAAATGAACCAATCACACACTTTCAGGATGTCTGCATGAACTAGACACGTCTGCATGAATTGATTTTTGTCTGATAAATTTGTTTCACCATTAGCTAGTACTTCTGCTGGCATTTTGACCTGACCAATATGAACTCCACAAAATGTCAAAGGTCCAAAAGTACATAATACACACAAAACCCCCACAGACTCTAAGACAGAAGTGCTGTTTGTCTATGAAAATGAATGGACGTTAGTGTAATGGGCTTCTAATTACATTGTTGTTGCTTGTGGGATGAGTGATTCATGATGATTAATTTGACGTGCTGAAATGCGCTTTTTATGGTGACAAATTGCATTACACACCTACGGGATAGTGGAGGGATCTCATAATAACAGTAATACAGACCTTCACCTTATTTAGCATTCAGTGTTCAGCTTTATGGGAAGTTTTTGAATGACTTTGAATAACCGATTCAGTCAAATATTGATCTATTCACATTATGTTTCTTATAATGTTGTGTTGTGAATATCAAGACGTTCGTTTTTTGTCATCTGGCCCAGAATACACTCTTAATAATAAAGGTTATTTATAGAGATTGATGGTTCAATGAGGAACCTTTAGCATCCACTGAACCTTTCCATTGCACTAGTGGTAAAAGTTTCTTTAATTGAGATTATTAAAATGTTCTTCAAACTAAGAAAAATTTCGTTCTTGTAAATTGGATTGTATACCACATGTCTGCAAAACCACCATTTATGAACCTCTACCTTATGTGACATTCATAAAAGATATGCAGAGCGTATCTGACTTTATGAAATCTCATGAGGTATGTTTGCCAACCATCTAATTTTCTAATCTGAACATTACAAACAACAAATAATGAATGAATGTCACTGCATGTTTGATAACCACAGTACGCGTGCATATGATGAATGTAATAAACCATACTTGTACAATATAATAATAAATCTGCTGTGCACGAACACAGCCACACACTCACTTATTACTCTACAGATTTATCGCTGAGAAGGTGACTGATAATGAATGAAAGCATTCCTTTTATCTTTCCATGCCTCGTTCTCTTTCAGAAGTGTACTCAGATATTGAGATATAGTCTAGAGGTCAGAGGCGCACAAGAAAGCAAGAGTGAAAGCCAGCGAAAGAGAAAAAAAAATGATCCCAACTTCTCTGAGCAGTCTTCATTTTCAAACAGGTGTTGGTTAAATCGGCACTTGATTGAAAGCATGACAGCATCAAATATAGTGAGAACTGAAGATAGGAACAGATAACTGTTTTCAATATCACAGAACAATTCTCAGACATGGACATAAAAATATGGACGGAAATGGGAGTCCATTTAAAAGACATGATCATCAGTACCTGTGTGGCCAATGAATGTTCCTCCACGCTCTGTCCAGTTATAGTGATGATTTGGTATTTCTCTGTCTGGATTGATGGTGGATGTGATTTGTTTGCATCAACAAATATAAGTGGAAGTGGACTTGAATGTTGCACTCTGGGTGATTGTAAAAGAATCCATCATTTTGTGCTTTGTTGAGATACTGCTGATGTTGTAATGTAAGGTACGTGTATAACTACCTTACACTGCATTTATTAGAAATTGCTCTATTACAGAAAATATTGCAACGCAAAATAGCAATTTCACTACCGGTCTAGACACAGGTTGTCAGTCTTTTGGTGTGGGGATTTTCAGTCACTCTTTGTACCAGTGACTGCATTAAAGTACCTTGAGAGCGTTTCGAAAGCAAATGGAACCATCTGCTTTGTATGTGTTTGTGTGTGTGTGTGTGTGTGTGTGTGTGTGTGTGTGTGTGTGTGTGTGTGTGTGTGTGTGTGTGTGTGTGTGTGTGTGTATATATATATATATATATATATAGGTCTCCTCTCATGCTGATAGAGCGGATCATTTGAACGTGCTTTTCCCAAACATTATTAAAGGGGTGGTTGATTGCGATTTCACTTTTTTCATTTTAAATAGTGTGTAATGTTGCTGTTGGTGCATTAACAGTATCTGCAAAGTTGCAGTGCTGAAAGTTCAATGTAAGCAGAGATATCATCTTTTAAAAATCAGGAAGTTAAAAACGACTCGAATGGGTTTTAGACGTCACTAACCCATACATTTGCATCAACCCTCCCTCCGGAAATCCAAAAAAGGCATGGCCATATTTCTGCGACTCATCGAAAGTGTGTTATGTTCACCCAGCTGTCAGGTCTTCTGTGTTTGAGCTTCCCACATCAACAATGGGTACAATTTGTGTTTGATTATGTTCCTGAAAATTACATTAATTTAGCTCTCTGTGCTGCGCATTTTACGAAAAACAGCTTCCAGAATATCCATGAATTCAATGCCGGATTCAACAAGAAACTGTTACTAAAACATGAAGCAGTTCCAGCTTTAAAACCAGAGGCAGCAGTTGTTGAACAGCAACCTGTAAGTAGGCTAAGACTTAATCATTTTATGTATAATTTCAGACGTAATGTTTTAGTTTTATCAAATGCCAGCGCTGGCTTTATAGCCACTTATTTATGCTATTTCATGTCTACGACAAATGCGTACAAACATTTTGGACTTGAATTTTGTAGAAGTACTAATGTCGTAAATATATTTTTCATGTATATATACTTTATGACGTTGTTTTTCGATTTGATCAAGAACGTAAACCAATGCCAACGCTGTTTGTGTATAGTAGCCAGTTAGTTCGATGCTATTTTGAGTAAGACAAACGTGTCTAAAGTTAAAAAAATATAGGCAATAAGAGCCGTGTTTGGCGAGGTTCTGCTTGCCTCTCTTCATCGCCGCTTTCTGGGTCTGATTCTGGCTCATACCGATACTGCAGTATTGACACCATTATTTACATTTGACAGGAACAACACATGCAACTTCATCCGTAAAGGTAATGGGTGTGAAGTTTCCAGACAACGTGAGCAACAGTTTAGCCAATCACAACATACCAGCCCAAACTAACCAATCTGAGCCCATTGCCTGTTTCTGAAGGAGTGGGTTCATAAAATCAGGAAGTCAACCGGTCGTTCAAATGACAGAGGAGAAAGCGGCTGACAATAAAGGTGAAATTGATGAAAAATAAGACTTTTTAAAAAAGAAAAAACATAAATACATGTTACATTGCACCTCATAAACACAATCCTGCAAAGAAAGAAAAGCAGTAAACCATCCCTTTAATAAAACATGCACTTAACTGATTCGTTCAAAAACACCAATTAATTCAGGAACGAAACTATTGAACATCTTTATGAGCGAGTAATCATTCACTGAACCAACTCGTTCATTCAGGAACGAATAATGACTGCCTGTATGAGTGAGCCATTGAATTATACACCTAACCATTTCACCAATTCATTTAGAAAAACTAGTGCCAGGCCCTGTCCAGAATGGTACACTTTCATGCACTTTCGGTCTTGTGGACTTACAATGGCTTCCGCGTGTCCGTTAAGCCCATGAGACAGATCGCGGGGTGTCCTATTTGTCATTTTAGGTTTCAGAAGGGTCTTTTTGAGCAGTCAATCGATTCACTGAGCCGATTCATACAAAACACAGCTTCATTCAGGACCAAAACAAGTGAACATCTTTATGAGCTAGTCATTATTCATTCAGCCGATGCGATAAAAGCACACATTCATTCAAGAATGGCACAATTCAATAATTCAATTAATCCATTTGATTAGTTCAAAATGAAAGATGATCATACTGTGTTACTTTGTGTAAGTGACTGTTGTATAAAAGCAATGTCACCCTTAACAATACAAAATATATAGAGAGGAGAAGAGCGGGGAAAATAAGAATGTGTGACAGAGAGGCAGAGGCAGTCAAGGAGGGCGTCAGTAAATTCAGTGTGTGCGCGTGCATGTATGACATGGGATGCCTCTGTCCTCAACGGGAAAGCTTATCAGTTTATCCTTTCAGGTGAATCCTCAAAACCTCCTATCGCTTCTCCATCCGTTCTTTTCTCTATCCCAATTCTTTCCCCCTGTATTGTTTTTGTTTATTTTTTTAAGCCCTGCTTGTATCCGGCGAGTGCAGTTACGCGTCTTGCATTCCAACTCTCAGACTCGACTGTACAAATTATACATCAAAGCTGGGGAATTGGATCAGTTACAGCGCAAGTGAATTAGAGCGAGAGAACACTGGCATTATTGTGACTGACAGGGACACACCCACTTTATGATGTCACTGGCTCTCAGGTCCAGTAAAAAACAGATTTCCAATAGATAATAAAAGTGGTTTTATCATATGGGCTTTTTTCAGTCCAAATAAGTGATTTAATTCATTGATCTTCTAAGAAACGTGCATTGGCACGCCTCCTTGACTGGTAAAGCATGTCTTTAATTGTTTACGAGGCCTTTGCATGATAACAGATGGGTTTAGCATCTTGCCATATCTTTGTTGTTAATGGTGATCTCAAGGCTGCACAAAAGAGATTTTAAAAGTGGATGAAATTCAAGTCCTATTTTAGTTCAATAATAATAATTGAATATAATTTTAGAGTAAAGGGACAGTTTACCCCAAAATAAAAATTCTGTAATTTACTATCAACCCTTATGTCAATCCAAACCTATATGCCTTTTTTCTTCCATGGATTAAAAGCTTTCAAACTTCAAAAAGGACTCAAAAGCTCCATAAAAGCAGTCCAAGTGAAATGTTCTTCTGAAGTCATACTGATAGATTTTTGTGACAAATAGATAGAAATTCACTGAAAATCTTGACATCTGCCCTAGTTTTCCTTAGCATTTTCATAGCAATGTCAAACAAATTCGTTTTTGATCTAGATCTTTTCATTGAATCGGCCGATGAGTTCACAGAATGATTCATTTGGATTTGGATGTCACCAGAGATGGTTACAACAGTTAACAGCTCATAACGGGGCTAAAGGCACACCCTACGGAATATGTATATATATATATATTTTTACTGAACATTGATGGAGCAACATATTTTTTTTTTTTTTGAAAACAAAATCGTATAAATGTATGAGGCGCTGTGGGTCTTTTGCCTCACACATGGGGTAAAAGGCTTTCCAGCATGGGGCAAAAAGCACACATTATTTATACAAACACTATAAAATAATGTTTATACTTAAACTTAATACTTTACTTTACAATCACTTCAGCAGGTTTGTGCTATTTTCTGTTTATTTTGATAAATAAAATAATGAATTTTCAATAGATACATTGAAAATATATTTATATAAATGTATATATTGTGTGTGTGTGTCCACAGACAATTGGTCCCAAGGAAGGATGGCAGGTGTATAGTTCGGCACAGGATGCAGACGGACGCTGTATCTGCACAGTGGTCGCACCGGAACAAAACTTCTGCTCCAGGGATGCCAAGAGCAGACAGCTCCGACAGCTGCTGGAGAAGGTCTCGCGTATAATAAACACACACATTGTATCTCTTTTCTGAAATATATCTATAGATCTATATACGTACATACTCTACCATTCAGAAATGTGGGGTCAGTAAGATTTTAAAAACTACGACTACTTATTCAGCATTAAATTGATCAAAAGTGGCAGTAAATTATTTTACAATGATAAAAAAAAATCTATTTCAGATAAATACTGTTCCTATTACCGAATCACGATTCCACAAAAAATTACGCAGCAAAATAAGAAAAAAAAAACACACACACATATATATATATAAATAAGAAATATTATTTGAACTCCATATAAGCATATTAAAATAGATTATTTGATACTAAAGACTGGGGTAATGATGCTGAAAACTACATTTAGAAATTTATTTTAATTGGTAATAACATTTCACAATGTTACTGTTTCAAATAAATACTGCCTTGGTGAGCATAAGACTAAGAGACTTCTTTCAAAAGCATAAAAATCTTACTGACCCCTAACTTTTTCGAGGTAGTATATGTATACACATTTATTTTTTACCCTTAATATATTCATGGAATTGAATCAAACTTGCCAACTCATTTTTGCAACTGAATTTTAAAGATATTTGATAATATTGGAACATCTTTGTCTGAATGTTGTCATACTCTCATACTAACGAAAGGGTGAAAACTAGCCAACCCAGACGCTCTTTCGGAAATGTAATGGCCTAATAAACGGGTGCATTATTTTTTATATAGTAATACCTATTACCCATACAATAATGGGGCAGATGCGTTGTGAATATAATGTGAATATTCAAAATACGGCAAATCCCTGTAATGTCACAATGTTTTTTCACTCTGCATTTCTTCTTGCTTCGCACTCACACAGGCATCATTTGGCTAGTGTATATTGTGTGGACAACTAATGTACTGTTTTGCCTCAGGGGGGTCACATTTCAGGAGCTACAGTACTGTACAGCTCAACACTAATACTGACATAAACAAACACACACACTTGTCCTCTTGCTCTTGATTTCTCTCTGTCTCTCAATCACATATTACATATTCCCCTCCCCCACCTTTTATCCTCTTTTATCATTCTCATTCCCACTTAGGACCTTTAAACACACACACAAGTAAAAAGCAATAGCACTCATGGGTGCTTCCATTGCATTCACAAGAGGCTGATTTTATGCAGGTCATTAATAGCTGATTTTATGATAAATGATACATGCCTCAATTCAGCGGGAGCCTGACTGCCGTTAATATTTATATCTACATTTATTAACGCCTCCATTTTCCCTATAGCCTGAAAAGAAATCCCAGGCCTACATCTCATTCATGATTCATGGATTTCCACTTTTCTCGTGCCCCAGTCAAGGCAGCTAATCAGACAGTTTGATAGGGACAAACACCATGAGATTGGAGTGACTGCCTTTTTTTTTATCAGCCACTTTTTAAAAATGAATTAATTGTACCGGTAGTCAGTTTATCCATAACATATGCAAAGAAATGTATCTTTGGAAAGTGCTTCTCACCTGATGAGGTTGAAGGGATAGTTCACTCAATAATAATTTCATCTACTCACCCTCATGTCCTTCAAGCAATGTATTGTTTTCAATAAAACAAATGTCCATGGTGACTAGTGGCTGGTCAAAATATGCAAAAAAAACAAAAAAGTATTATACATATGAATTGTCTATGGATTTTTTTGTTTACTGCATGATGCAAAGGTTCTTTTTCATGGTTTATTATGGCTTATGCTCAACAAGGCTGCATTTATTTTATATGTAATTTATTCCTGTGATGCAGAGCTGAATTTTCAGCATCGTTACTCCAGTCTTCAGTGTCACATGATCCTTCCAGAAATCATTCTAATATGCTGATTTGCTGCCCAAGAAACATTTCTTATTATTATGAAAAATTGAAAACAGTTTTGTTTTGTTTTTATAGGAGAACCCCCAGTTTAGTCCTACTTCTTAAAGGAGTAGTTCACTTTAAAAAAAACTTTTGCTGATAATTTACTCACCCCCATGTCATCCAAGATATCCAAGTCATTCTTTCTTCAGTTGAAAAGAAATTAAGGTTTTTGTTGAAAACATGATTCCAGGATTTTCTCCATATAAATGGACTTCAGTGGGAAACAAACGGTTCAAGGTCCAAAACACAGTTTCAGTTCAAACTGCAAACTGTTGAAAGGGCTTTAAATGATTCCAGACGATGAATAAGGGTCTTATCAAGCAAAATGCTCATTTAAAAAAAAAAATATAACAAAGTTTAAGTTTTATAAGCTCAAATGGTCACCTTGCTCTGTTCTGTGATGCACATTCGTGACTCATCTATTCGAACTTGTTCATCGTTCAATGATTTTTTTTTTAAAAGTGAGCTACTCCTTTAACTTGTGCTTTTGTGATGCAGGTGCAGAACATGTCTCAGTCCATTGAAGTCCTGAATCTGCGCACGCAGCGCGATTTCCAGTATGTCATGAAAATGGAAAATCAAATGAAAGGGTTACGGACCAAGTTCCGGCAAATTGAAGAAGACAGGAAAACTATAATGGCCAGAAACTTTAAGGTATGTTTTTTTTTATTATGTTACAATAGATTTGCTGCATGGAAATGCAAACATCAGCATTAGGCATGAATATTGTATGTGTTAAGTCAAAACGCTAAACATATGCAGGTCTATCTATAATAGAACTACATGCGTTTCACGACTAAACATTGTTAACTGGAACCAAGGTGTAAAGCATAACAGCTTTGTGTGTGTGTGTTTGTGTGTGTGTCTCTCTCTACAGGAGCTGAACGATCGTATGGATGAACTTCAGCCATTGATTCCTGTGCTGGAGCAGTACAAAACAGATGCTAAGCTGATCTCTCAGTTTAAAGAGGAAATCAGGAATCTTTCTGCTGTGCTGACGGGCATCCAGGAAGAGCTGGGAGCTTATGACTATGAGCAGCTCTATCAGAGAGTCCTCAGCCTGGATAGCCGTCTACGAAACTGCATGAGCAAACTCAGTAAGTATAAGTACTGATGGAATTTACTGGACTTTTAAAGGGGCCATATTCCACTGCTTCATATCATTTTACATTGCATTAGAATTAAATGGGGTTTGTTTGCTAGTGTATCTTTAAATATTCTATCTGTAACTAACCTCTGCTATGATTGACTGAACCTTTGGGTTAAGCAACATGATTAACTAGGTTTCAGAGTCAGACTCAACTGTCCCATTGAGTTTCTTAGGGGGTTTACAAAAGATGTGTTCTTGCAACAGCTATTTGGAGGTGAAGACAAATAATAATGAAAGGATTGAACTGTGTTTGGCTGACAATTGATGTAATTGATGCAAAGCTGAATTTTCAGCATCTTCTGTGTCACATGATCCTTCAGAAATCATTCTAATATGCGGATATGAGAAACATTTCTTATTATTATCAGTGCTGCTTAATATTTTTGTGGTAACCATGACATTTTTTTTAGGTTTCTTTCAATTCAAAATGAGAGTATTTATTTGAAATAGGAAAGATATTTAAAATTCACCTGTATTGAATAAAGTAAAAAAAAAATATTATTTTTTTTTTCAAAAATCTTACAGACCCTAAATTTTTGAACAATCGTCAATGTGAACATCCAGTTGTTCCTCCCCCCTTGATTTATGGCACCGTATGCATTGATATTTATTGAAATTAATTTAGCTTAAAGTGTATTATAGTACAGCCTGTAAAAAAAACCCATCAAAACTCAGATTTGACCCTCCAGCTACAGTTTGTCCAGATTACTCTTAGTGAACGTTAAGCAAGGCAATTATACAACAATGTGTTTTCAACAATCTTCATATAACACCTGTGAATGTGATGATGAAGTGCTAAAAAGCCTTTCAATATGAATGAGTTGATTAGGCAAATTCAACAGATGTTCTAATATGTTATTAATAACTCTTATAATTACATCCTAGCGTTGGGGTTTGGATGCACTAAGCTAGTACATCATTAAAAGTTGCTGTTGTTTTTTACATGCACCGAAAGCAAGTCTTTAGAAGGAATCAAATTGCTTCTAGGGAACCAGCCATTTGAAAAAGAGATGATGTTAAAAATGAAGAATATTCATTTGGATTTTTTTTACAGCATGTGGGAAATTAATGAAAATCACCGGCCCTGTGACGATAAAGACATCCGGGACGCGGTTTGGCGCATGGATGACCGACCCTCTAGCATCTCCAAGAAATAACCGGGTGAGTTCTGGAGGGGGGCGGCTCTATGTTCTTCAAGCTGATTAATGTTCTGACATATCCCTGATTAATCTTCTTCCTTCCCAGGATTGCTAACAACCGGTTTCCACCAGGTGTAAAATTATTTAGTGAGCCACTCATCTACATACTTTAATCTGCCTCTGTCTTTCTCCCACAGATTTGGTATATGGACACTTACACCAACAGCAAGGTGGTTCGAGAGTATAAAAGTATTGAAGACTTCATCTCCGGTCAGGAATCGCGAACCTATTACCTTCCCTTTAAATGGGCTGGAACCAACCATGTGGTCTATAATGGCTCTCTGTACTACAACAAGGAGCAGAGCAACATCATCGTCAAATACAGCTTCGAGACCGGACGGGTTCTCGCCCAGCGTGCCTTGGAGTACGCCGGCTTCCACAACGTCTACCCCTACACCTGGGGAGGCTTCTCGGACATCGACCTGATGGCGGACGAGCTGGGTTTGTGGGCTGTGTACGCCACCAATCAGAATGCAGGAAACATTGTGATTTCTCAGTTAGAACCGCAGACGCTGGAGGTTCTCCAGACGTGGAACACGGAATACTCCAAAAGGAACGCGGGAGAGTCGTTCATGATCTGCGGCACGCTGTACATCACCAATTCCCATCTGACCGGAGCCAAGGTGTATTATTCCTACAACACAAAGACCTCGACGTACGAGTACATGGACATCCCGTTCCACAACCAGTACTTTCACATTTCCATGCTTGACTATAACGCTCAAGAACGGGCGCTTTACGCCTGGAACAATGGACATCAGGTCATTTTCAACGTCACGCTTTTCCATGTCATCAAAACCGAAGATGATTCCTAATGGACATACGGTCTGGATAAACGAAACTTATTTAATGTTATTTTCTACACGTTCATGGTTCTTTTCCCAAATATTAATAAGACATGTCGCCTTTACTTCACCACAGACTACGGTTCGAATTGAGCGTCGTCTCGCCGTAGGACTGATGACATATAAAGACTTGATGCAATGCCAATACGAACAGAACGACTTTTGCTTTTTTACTCATCTGCTCTGAAAGTTAGGTCTTACTTGCAATATGTGAGCCACAGATCGCTCAACAGCATGAATGTCTGATTCTTTTGCCATCCTTTATGTGGTATTTGTACATCAGAAATCCCATTTTCTTATATAGTGATGTACTTTTGGAAACAATAATTTGTCCAGAATCTCCTGGTAATTTCTTGTTGTGTCAAGTGTAGTTGTACAAACTGTAGAGCTCTGAATGTGAACCTATGTAAATGATTGTAACATTCATTGTCACTGTGAGAGGAAATATTTTATATTAAATCTAGAACAAAACAATAAATCAACTGGAATGAAGCCACAAATCTACATCCATAAATGTAAACAACAGAACAGAAAGGAGCCATGTGCGAGTGCGACAGAGCAATTTTGTCGGAATTCAGCCAGAATTCACGGGGGTTATAATGAGGTCATTTGCTGATGATTGTGACAAGCCCGAATGCGGTTGCGTTCACATTAATTTACGGGCAGCCCTTCTCACTTGATGACTTTGAATGCTGTCCTTTGGCATTTTCAATCAAGATCAAGGGCACAGGATCTGGGGGGACGATTCCAACTCCTCTCTGCAATTTCCTCTCCCTTCATTTCTGTGTCAAGCGTCCCTGTCTGCTTGGGCACTGGGAATTTAAATGCACTCTTACCACCATCAATTCAACTCTGGGAATTGATCACCCTCTGGGATTTACTACTGCTGTTTCCTCCCATCACGCCCAGTGCATCTCTTATGAATATTTGCTTACAACAAGTTTGCCTAGTCTTGCAATAGATCTGCAATCATAAAGTTTAAATTGCTTTTTAGTTTTGATGTTTTTTGAGCTTAGAGTTTCAATTACAAACCTAATTAGATTTCCCCCAAATATAGTTCAAAATCATAAAAGCAGTCCATATGACTTGTTGTGCCCCATATTTAGCATTTTCTGGAGGTTTTTGTTGTTGTTTTTTCTTTATTTATTAAAAATAGCTTCTTCTTTTTTTCCCCCTGCATTAGAAAGTCACAATTTCCTGTGGGTCTATAAAAAGTCCATTAGAGTTTTGTATTTTTTTTTTTTTCGACCACATTATGAGGCCTATTTCACAATTGCATAAAACTAATTGGCTCAGCAGAGGAGTAATATCAATATGAATATAAATATTTAATACTGTTTTATCAGATGATAAAGCCAGTACAGATTGCTATTCACATTATCTTTTCAGCAGTCACCTGATAGTGTATTGTGCTCCACATTGCAACTCATTTTAAATTCCAGAGAATGTGCAAAAAAAAAAAAAATGAGAAACTCAGTGGCATGCCATACTATTTCTATTCTCCACCATTGCACTGATATTTATAGACTACAGGAAAAACTTGCCAGTGGAAGAAACACAAATAGTTTTACATACTGTAAATCCTAAATGAGACTTACAGTATATTTGCATTGCATTGATTTAGTTAATTATGAGAACAATACTTTCTTATATACTTAAATACTTTCTCCGTTCACGCTCTCTCTTCACACACTAGTCAAGAAATGGAGTCTGAGTTTGAAAAGAAAAAGAATGCCAGAAGGGAGGCTGCATGATAAATAAACAAACTTCTGACTTTTCAGTGACTTTTAGAAACCGTTCTTATTTTTATTGAGTTCTTACACACCCTGAGTCTATTATATAATGAGAAAAAAAAAAACACCAATCCAACTTTTGCTCTTTTCCAGAAAGACATCTGTCTGCAACACTGATCTGTAGCTTGATCTGATAACTTCTGTCCTTAATGCTGAACTGGCTTTAGTCTTATTTTAAAAGATCATTACTTATGTAATTATGCATATGAATTTGAATATGGCATGGCTGTTGTATTTTGAGTCTTACACTCTGATCTTCACTAGAAGGACAAATTTCTTGAGCGAGTTTGTTCTCCGGCCCTCTGAACCACCAATTAAAAGGCATAGTGTTCAGCTGGGCATTTTATGTCTCAGTTGTTTTTCTTTAACAGCAGACTTATCTCCCAGCAGGACTTTTAGATCACACAATACATCTGGTGGTGGTCGACTTGATTCTTGATTAAAGGTATTCCCTTTTCTTGTGAAATTGAACAATTACTAGCTTAACCGCTCTGTTTTTATGGTTCCAAAACATAATTGCCAAATTACATAGACATTGCAATATTGCCATAGACATGATTGCAGATTAATTTATGATTGTATATCATAGGGCTGTCAGTCGATTTGAATTATAATTAAAAGTCGGATTCATAAATTGAATAATCAAAGGTAAACTGTGGTAGTACCTTTAATTATTAATGGTATGTACCTTACAATTAAAGGAATAATAAGCATACACCTGATACACTGTGGTAAGCTTATTTTAAGTGTTTTTGTTTTTACCTTTTTTTTGAACAGGACGGATTTCACTGGAAACAACATGCATACACCATTAGCCAGTGTATGTTTCGTCATATCCGAAAATAGAGAGAAGTTGTTTCGGCTACTTTGGCATATGTATGGGTTCAAATTTTCACATAGATATATTATATTTCACTTATTCTGTATGACTGAACATAAACTTTTAAAGTTTGTCAGTTTGTTCAAGGTAGATCATATTTGTATGGGTCAAGCGATAGCAGTATCGCTTTATTTTCTTTAGATTTTGCATAGTAAATTGCACTACATTTTGACACTCATCGTTTTTATCATCATCAACATAATTTGATGAAAAGGATGAAAGTCATGCCTTATGATACAGGTTCAAACTCAATCTCTCACCACATTATGAATGTAGAGCAGTATTTACTGAACAACTTTGATTATTTCCCAACACAAGCCTAGAATACCAACATTGCCTTTTGCCATCTTGACACAGGCCCAAACTAAAGCCGAGAGTAATTCACCGGCAGATCAACAGCAGTCTGCGTTTCATTTCACATTGAAAGGTGTTTAAAAAAAAAAAAAAAAACATCACTGATTTCCATATCAATCACGGTAACCTGTTATTTCTGTACCTGTGTGTGCGTGTATGTGTGATTCGTTTCACACAGCTCGCCAGTGTTGTATTATTGGTATTCTTTATGATCCCTCCACTGCTGGTGTCGCCCAATGTTATGTTAGAAAATGTAAAGTATTATGGTCCCCCCCTACACCCTGACAAAGGCACATCAAATCTTTGTGAAGGATCTTTGAAATGGAAAGAGGTAAGAGCCTGGGGGAAAGGTTTTCCACTGCCATGAATTTCAATAAAGACACAAGGGAAAGACATAGTATAATCGGTCCATTCCTGCATAATCGGGTCACATCCAAACTAACAGTGTCAAATTAATGTTCTCTCCCTCAATGTCCAATTACTGCATATTGCCATATTCCATAAAAAAATATTCCAATTATTATCCTTATCATTGCGGTTTCTTATCTGTCTGTATGTGCCAGCAGGCCACGTTTTCACCACTGATTAAAATGTGAGATTACTGTAGTGAAAACACCACACAGACTCGCTGGTGAGACGTCCTCAAGAGCCATAAAATGGACACAAATCAAGTTGGCGAGTGACACTCAGATAATTTGTGGTTATCCTTTGCTGAAAATGGAAGCATAAAATCAATTTGCTGTGCTGTGTGCTTACAAATGTAGTTTCATAACTGAAATCAAAACGAAGGCAAACAAATCAATCTCTAAATTGAAAGTTTTAGAACTTTTTTCTGATTTAGGGCGAAATATGGAAATCAAAATGAAGGCTGTTTTTTTTTCTTTAGCCTTTCACTGATGTATTTTATTTTTGAAAAGTTAATAGAAACAGTCTTTATATTTCTAAAGAGCTGAAAATTACTCCTTGGAAACAAATGGCTCTGTTTGATAGCTCCAGTTATTTCGGGTCCAGACTTTTAGAAGGGAGAAAATCATATTTGTGTGAGTGTGAGAGAGAATCAATATTGAATCACAGGCTGCATAATCTGACATCTCAATGCTCAGCCAATGAATTATCAGGCAATGGATTTCTTAATGTCATATTATATTTAGTAATTTTATTCAACATTTAAGTTGTATATGTGTCCTATTAAGTGAACCATAATATCATTTAGCTACCTCTTTAGATTATAGTGACAATACATGTGTTGTTGGACTGCGTCTGTATAAATGAAAACTAAAGAATGCAACACAAACTGAATGAGTCACTTTTTGGAAAGAAGTAATCACTCAGCTGTTATTTACATTCTAGTTTAAATTAAATCGACCTCATAAATCTTAGTTTCGCCACTATATTTCATTGTTCCTTCTGTTGTGTTCTTTTGAAGCTTCATAAAGTTGTTGGAGGGCTTTATTTGTATGGATGGATGGGGGGGGGGGGGGGGTTGAAAAATATTTTTGTTTAATATGCTCGAATGGCTGGTCAGCTAATAGTAAAAATAAGTGCTAAACATGTCTGTATATCCAGGCTGTGAAGCACTATAAATGCAAATTGAGGGAACAATGTAAATACCATCACATTTGCATCAAAAAGCAGACTGAGCAAAGCACTTTAATTGGAAAATTAATAGATACCACATGATCAGTTCTAATCAAAGTGACACCGTTTGATCAAGTGTTGTTTGAAAGAATTGCAATTTTTTAAAAGTTTTTTTTTTTATCAGTTGATATTACTGTATGATGTTTAGATGATAGCATAGGGCATTGCTCTGTGGTTTCTAAGGTGTGCTAAATGGTTTTACAGTAGAGAGTTGCAAGGCAGTTGTTACTGTGTCTAATAAAACAGTTAGTTCCAATCCTTAAAAAACAACTGTAACCGCTTCACCCAACGGTTCTATTTCTCATTGCACAACACTGCAGTTCTTGTGTTGTTTTTATTTGAGCTTTAATGCATATTACACATTGGAACGTCATTGCTGTTCACGCTCAGGGACTATTTTTTTCTAGTGGAAGGAAGGCTTTTAGTGATTTTACTTCTTGAAAGTTGCACTAATACATATATCATATATTTTTTTACTTTAATATTTTTATTGTGTGCAAACCGTTTTATAAAAGCAATAAGGTCCTCGAGGAAAGTGTGAGTACTCTGCTTCGTGCCTACGTAACAACGCCCTTCAGCCGTTACTTATTCACGATACAGCACAGCATCTCGCACCTTATTGCTTACCTATAAAATCAGTTTTATTTTTGTCCAAATTCTGTTTGTTTTTTACTCCATTTTAATGGTTAAACTGCATTTTAGTAATCAAAAATCATGTCTAATTAATTACATTTATAAAAACTAAAATTATTAAATAAAAAAAAAATACAAGTTAAAAAATAAAGTTTTACTACTAATTATTACTATTATTGGTGTTAGTATAATTATTACATTGAGACATAGCTAAATTATACTGCACAACAGTAATATATTTCCGTCACAATTTCTTCAAGTTAAACCGAACTTATATTTTGACAGGTTTTGACGGTTGTCAGCGACTCTGCCCGCGTTTTTCACATTGCAGAAATCATAGGGCTCTAGCTGCGGTTGGTCTGAGGAACCTGATCGCACAGGAAAATATAACTATGTTATGCGATTTTGATAGAATTGTGAATGTGAATCGTACAATTATTCGAAAAAAATAAGCACGATGGTACTCCCCAACCCAAATCCTGATGCGGTCCAAGCAGATTGTATGAAAATGTATGGATGAAATCGTACAAAGTCATACAAATAAGCCACCGATTCGCCAAAATGCAAAATAGTTTTGACTGAGTGTAGTGCAAAAAGCAGCAGTTAAACCTGGCCATATACTGCACACGATCCCCTTATCATCCCTTTGGCATTGACTTACAATGGCAGCTTGCTATAAAGCGATGCTTAAAATGTCATTGAGAATAATGAGCCCAGTGCCTGTCTCGGCCTGAAACTCTAAACTCATCACTCCCATGTTGATCACTCTCCTGGATGAGTTCCACAAGTGACTCCCTCGACTTGAGCAGAGCATCATTTGAGACCTCAAGGGAGAAAAAAAGCAGATTGCTAAGAGAAGACGAAGGAAGAAACAGTGAATAATTGTTGCAGCTCCAATCAAGCCACTAAATGCATTTTAAAGACGCCCCTGTGGTGGAAATCAAGTTTTCTAATGTTGTTTAAACGTCTATGTGGTGTTTGTAATATGCTTTCAAAAAAAACATGTGCAAATTCATGTCAACAATATTGCTAAGTATTTTCTCCTTAAAAGTCCAGTTAACCAAAGACAGTCTCAACGGGGTTTGAAATCGCTGGTGTTTCTGACGTCACAAACTTGATATGAAAATTGTACATTTAGCAATATATCAGGTGAATTATGTATATGATGAATATTACACAGTTATGATAAACTATATGCCTTTCTCCACTGACGTTCTATGATGTTCGAAGCATTTCTAAGGATACTGGTTTTTCGAAGGCAGCTGTCTGACTCTGAGGTGGCGAACGGGAACATGGTTTGTGTAACATTAGCAACACACTATTAGCTGTTTGATAGCAAAAGGCTAATCTAATTAATTACCATTATTTGTCCGACGTTGTAAAGAACGATACATTTGTGCAGCGTTTAATACAGGAACTTGAGTAAAAGTTGACCAAGTGAGTCTCTGAGCTAGTGTGAGTGATTGGAGGCGGCGGGCTAATTTGCATATTCATTGGTCTGCATATACTGAATGCTTACATTCAAGCTATTTTAAAGGCATAAAGATATATTTTTTCT